GGGTTGTGATTTTATCGGAATTCATTTCAAAGGTAGCAGTATGAGATTTTGCATCCAGTTCTCTCATTCCACGTTTATTCCATGCCCTACCACATTATAAGACAGCTTCTCCTCTGATGTGATTTTCCCATTTTTTTTTTATGAAAGAAGAATGAGGAAGAAATCAGACACTGAATCTGCTGATATCTTGATTTGGGAAGTTCCAGCCTTGAAAATTATAAGCAACAAATTTCTGTTCTTTATGAATTACCTAGCAAATGTGTTTTCTTACAGCAGCAGGAACAAATTAAGATGTATTTTTTTTCCTTCAGAAATCCTTCCAAATTCTACCACAGGCTCCAATTTTTGTAGACTCAAGTACAGCCTTCAATGTTCCTCCCAGCAGAATTTTAGTTCATATCCTATCAAATTTTTCTTTTCTTTTTCTCTTCAAACTGAAATTGTGAGTCAGTTAGTATTGATTATGGGCATCTGGAGTAGATTATGGGGTGGTGGGCAGGTAACTACTATAATCACTCAGGCAGGCATTTGATATTAGGTTGACTTGCAGGCTACTAGCTCTGAATTTACTCCAAATTAATACACAAATAGCAAGGGATTAAAATATTCACGGAAATAACTTTGATCTTTGGAGTTTTTTTCTTCTTTACATAGGCTCCTGGTTTGTATGAGGTCCTTTTCATCTTAATAAAAGAGCTATGGGTTCAGGTCTTGATCCTACTTAGTGTAAGTTCTGACTGAATCTGATCTCCCTGATAAAATTAGAAATATTCAAAGAGAGATAAAATCCTATTATGGTGATAACTTTTCCTTCCTTTTAACCACTGCTGAAAGAAACGTTTACAGGCATATTTGGGGAGAGATCCACAGCTTTCACACAGAATCTAGGTAAATCACTGGCCCTTGGCACAAATAGCTGTTGGATGGTAGAATGAACACATGGTTTACAATGCCCTGATTTAGGCCTTTTAAACAGAAGTATGCGTAACTAGGGTTTTATTTCTCATAGAAAGACTCAAGTTTGCAGCATGAAAACCTCTTTAATATGTTGGGGTTTATTGGTTTGCATGTCTCTCAGGACCAGGTTTCACTCTTATATTTGGTTCCACTTTGCAACTATCTTCTGAGTTTGGGATTCTCTAAACAAAAACTTTCAGTAAATGAATTATGATACTTTTCTTCTGTACTTCAACAAATACTTCTATTCATAGTTTTTTTCACATCAATTCAGGTTCTCTATAGTTTTCAGCTTCTATTCATCCAAGTAGTTATTTCTGTTTCTAACCTATACACCCTTCTTATGGCTTATGTCCACAGCACTATTTACACAGATATATTGGAGGTTCTCCCACCCTGGCTAAACATTAGACTTAATCTGGGATGTTTCTAAACTTACAAATGAATTAGCCACATTCCCAAACCTTGACTTAATTTATCTAGAGGACTATCATGATATAAATAAAGTGTTTTAAAGTTCCAAAAGTGATTCTGATAAACAGGTTGGAAACCCCTGCTATATATACTATTGATCTCAGTGCATTGTGAGTTTTTGTAAACTTTCTCTCCCACTGGAGTTTTCAGCACTTTGAAGTCGGAGACTACATCTGATTCATATTTGAATTCTAATACATATAGAGCTTGATCTACATAATATTTATATACAAAAGCTCTATGGAGTACTCAGGAAGATCCAAAATTCAAGACTACTACCTCTTACTCAAGGAGAACACAATCTACTATGAAAATATCAGGCAAGGAAAAAAAAACCCAAAAAACTAGTGCTACAGTTCTGTGACATAGGATTGTTTAGACAGCTTTGACAGAAAGTTAAGAAAAATGGTAGGTGAGGACTGCAGGAGAATTTCTTGGGAAAAGGAACAGAACAAAGAAAGGGGAGGACGTAGGAATGTATGAAGCCCATTTAGGATACAGTTTGCATAGCATTTAAGAAACAACTACAGAAGAAGTAGGCAATGAAGGTAAAAGATGAGAGGGGAGAAATGGTGGAGGCTCTAAATGCCTAATGGATGAGCACAAAGTCCTTCAAAGTTTCTGAGCACAAGAATAATGTGTTCAGATACTCGGACTTTAAAAAGATGGATCTTGCAGAATGTGTGGCTCAGCTTGCAATCCTAGCTACCTTGGAGGTACAGATCAGGAGGATCAAGGTTTGAAGCAAGCACTAGGAAAAAGTTCGTGAGACTCCCATCTCAACCAATAAAAAATGGACACGGAGGTACATGTCTATCATCCCAGCAAAGTAGAAAGCATAAAATAGGAGGATTGCAGTCCAGACCAGCCTGGGCAAAAACATGAGACCCAATTTGAAAAATTAAAGGAGGTAAAGCACCTGCCAAGATTATCTTGTAGATTTTAGACTTATGTTTGTATGTATTCTGACCTGCATTACATGAATACTACAAGAAAGTTTCCTTATGGTCAGTGTATTCATCAAAAAGTAAATCTGTATATTCATACAGCATAATGAAACCCACTAAAACTGCAAAAAAAAGGGAGGACTGAGAGGAAAGATGTGAGAATAATGGGGCAAATCTGATCAAAGTTCCTTATATGCTTGTATGGAAATGTCACAGTGAAACCTCTTTTTATAATTAATATATGCTAATATGTTTTAAAAGATCTCTAAATAACATTAACGTACATTATATCTGTTATCAGAGCACACACATACACACATATACATGTATGTATATCTTAGCTGAGATGAAAACAATTTGAAGGTGATATATAACACATATGAAAAACCAAAAGCAGTCGGTGTTTACAGGAATTGCATTAGACATCTCTCTCTTATTGTTATCTTAAATTTGATTCTAAAGCTGTGTGTTTATATGCAACATCCCAGTAAGAAATGATGAATAGTGAATAATGCAGATATTAAAGCTTAGGAAATATCGTTCAGGGTCCAACCACACAATTCAACATTTGTCTCTGCCAATAGCATATAGTGATATTTTATAAAATAGTAGGGTTAGTCCCATGTCTCACATACTGGTGCTTTATGTTCAACTAGATTCTGGGAATTTTCTGGACAGTTTTGAATCACCTAATTATATTATACTCCTTAAAATTTGATTGAAAAACAAAACAAAACAAAACAAAATGATTAAGTCAGTACTTGAGGGAGAGACTTCCAGTTCTAGACAAGATAGAGTAAACATAACTATTTCACTTTTGCTAATTATAATAAAACATTGTAGATGAAATATACAAGTCATATCAAAAGACTAAGAGATAGAAGGAAAAAAGCTAGATTGGATAAGGGCCTCATGGCTTAAGAAATGACGTGACAACAATGTCTGCAGGTTGTTTTTTGTTTTTCTATTTTTTTTTCATGTTTTCTTGCCTTCTGTATGTCCTAATTTGGATTCCAGAGAAGCCTTCAAAGCAGCAAAATGATTGTAAAAATAATAACCAAGGAACTGGGAAAGTGTGGCTCAATGGAACACAAATAAGGTAATCATATGTGTCCATTCTGGGAGTTAGTACCACAAAAAAATGATGTCTTTGTCCCACTGAAAGGATGGTTCTGAAGGAGGACAGTGAGAAACACCTTGTCAGTAGCCCATGTGCGGCAGAAACCTGTCTTCCACTTCTATTTCCTCTTCAGTAAAGAGAAGGCAGAGAAGGCATCTCTTCCTCATGCAGTCTGTGTTTGAACTGACTGCCCTTCCCCTGCAGAATCTATCATAGGAACCCTGTCTTCAGTCCTCCTGGGCAATAGGAAACAGAACCACTTTCTACCTCAGAAAGCTTTGGGGGAGGGGTGTGAATATTAAAGGGTAACCTGTGGGAGTTTCATTGTGACGATGGCGTTCAAATACAATGAGTTATGGTGAGGCTTATTCCAATCTACAAATGTGAAACAAATTCGTAGAAACATAACCCTCCCCAGCTAAAAGCAAACAGAAACCTGGAGAAATACAATTAAGAACTATAGCTAACAGTATTGTATCAAGATCAATTTCTTAAAAAAAAATGGTTATCTATGCATTTATGTAACAATATATCAGTTAGTCAATTCTAATTCACTTAAAATGCTTAGTTTCTGAACATCTGGTCACCAAAAAATACATGTTATATGTGGCAAATGTGATCCAACTTTAAAAAAGAATAAAGTTCTTGTTTTGCCACTTAAACAGATTTTCTAACACCATTACTAAAACAACTGTAACTAAAGAATAACTATTTTTCCCTTACTGTCAAATATTGGATTCTTTACCCAAAAAGAGATACTATTTGAAAAGAAAAGTTATTCTTCACACCTGGACAATACTTTTTATGGTTTGCATGAAAATAGCCATAGCCAGGCACTGTTACAGGATAAGATTAACTGGAAGGGCCATAGGGGAGGGTGATGAATTTATTGAAGCAAAAGCTTTATAAGGGAATACCTAAAAGTACTAAAAACCAGAAAACAGAGGAAGGGTATAATAAAATTATAAACAGTGATAATACTTTGTCTTTTGTGCCCTGTCTTTTCCTCAAGGAGCAGAAGGTTTCCTCAGTTAATGTGGTCACTTAACCTGCAGAGTTCTCCTTTTTCAGGAACATAGGTGAGGACGGGGTAGTTATGTGTCCTGCCTCAGGCCACACTGGAAATCACAAGTATGGTCAGATTGTAACAGAAAACATGGTTCTAGCAAATGTCTTGTCCTTCACAGCTAAATTAGATGATGTTTCTAGCTACAGCTCCAAACACCATGCCTTGGGTGAGCAATGGCTGATTCTAGACTATCACCTGGAAGAATGGCGTTCAGGAAAATGTTCTGTTAGTATAGCAGTACTTAATAAGCAGCCCATTTGGGCATTTTGTTTAATTTCATCTCAAGAAATTTTAAGTTTCCCCTTGGTTTGGAAATGTCAAATTATCCATTATGACAGACCAAGCTTCTTTATTCTAACCCTGTATGTAGACTTGTCCAAAAGGGAGACAGTAACATAAATGGGATATGTATTTCACTTCTGTCTTTACTTACTTTCTTCTTTCTGTTTCAAATTTATTGAGTAGTTTTCGGAGACCACCATTCTTAAATCCCTGAAAATGGGCAGCTGGGGCTCCCACGGTGATGACGTCATAGAGAGCATCTGGAATGGCAATAGACAAGGAGATGAACACTTTGCAAATACTTACCTCCCACATACTGTTTGCACTCAAACGTACATACTGTAAGAAGTTTTTCTGTTCAAATTTGCAAGAATAACTATGAACTCTCATCTCAAGGGGGCAAGAGGAACTAATCAATCTTCCTAAAAGCCACCTGTGCACCTAAACAAGTAATAATATTTCCCTGATTTATGACTACATCTTAATTATATACTACAGTGTAGAACAGTATGTTCTTCCATCCTTCTACATACTTACTGAGATGACATTTTAATTGGTCTTTTGTGTATTTTACTTTATTGAGTTTTGCATCACTTAATTTGCAATCATATTGAAATTCAAAAATAATGAACAATCTTTCAACCATACTTTACAGAGAGAAGAATGAAAATATTAATGCATTGTGACTCAAGGGCAGAACAGTATGAGTGCATTTAAAAAAATTATACTCATTTCCTGCTTGTGTACACTAAATTTTACATGCATACTTTTGTAAATTCCTTACATGACATGGAAAGAATGCAAAAAATATGTCTTGGTCGATTTCCCAGTGCAATGTTTTGTTTTTATAACAAAAATTTATACATTTAAATTGAAACTCAATTGTTTGATTGTGAAAGCCATCAAATTTGATACATGTTAAGTTTATGGCTTCAGATCAGGCCATTATTTTTCCATTATAATGGAAAGTATCCCCATAAGAAGGAAGACAGTGAATATCCTGTTTTTAAACTACAATTTATTAGCAAAATCTAATTTTATCATAAACTCTTTCCAAATTAATTTTGGTATTGGCACAGTGGTTGATTTTTAGATTTCCTTCACTGGGGAAACATAAATTATTTTATTGGTCTTTGGTAAACACAATAACTTCTTTAGAGCTGTATAGCCCAGATACATCTGAATTCTTTCTTTTTAAATCTCTTCAGTTAAAACACTTTAGCAGCAAGGTCACAAGAAACAAAACACAACACTAATCAACTCATTAATAAGAAATACATTGAATGACCAAGTAATGGATCTCTATGGTGATAATCTCTTCCTTTTTAAATGTCACTAATGAACGAGAAGTCAGATTTTCATAGTGAGTGGTATAGGCAATTTAAACATTTCCTATAAGGTGAATTAACCCAGTCCAGCCAGTTTCGACAGCCACAGTGAGTTTAGGGTGTCAATGAATGTATGTCGATTCTAAGTGCATCAGTTCTACTTCGTGGAAAGGAGTCTTAGCTTTCTCAGAGTCATGAGATACCCCAAAGTTACCAATAGCAAATTCTGGTCCATCTTCATTTATCTGGTGAGCAATGTGAGAACTGTGCAGAATTAACTGCTTTGTCTAAGGCTGTAAAGACATTACAGTGATGGTCTTCTGATTTTCCTCATGGGGTTAAGCTATCTGAATCTCTGGCATTGGCTTCCAGCTCTGATGCTTATAGGTTGTGTGATATTGGGAAAATTGCTTAACTTCTCTGTCTTAGTTTATTCAGCTATAAAAATGAGATTGAAAGTAGTTTAAGGTCATAATCACCCCTTTGTCTAAGGCTGTAAAGACATTCTACAAGTGATGTGTCTTCTGATTTTCCTCATGGGGTTAAGCTATCTGAATCTCTGGCATTGGCTTCCAGCTCTGATGCTTATAGGTTGTGTGATATTGGGAAAATTGCTTAACTTCTCTGTCTTAGTTTATTTATTCAGCTATAAAAATGAGATTGAAAGTAGTTTAAGGTCACAAAAATATAATTATGAAAAGAAAACTGACCAGGATTATAGTGATGTTTTCATGGGTATGTGCTGTTGCTCACATTTATCAGTTATATGCATTAAATATATGCAGTTTTTAATATATCACTTAGACCTCAATAAAACTGTTATCTTACAAAACAATTGCCTACAGCCCATCCTCTAGATTGAAAGAAGCTGGTGACATATCCAACATACCCAAGGGAAAGAATGAGGGGAAATCTGAATAGGAAAAGACAGATCTATTCATGCATAGAGGTTTAAACAACTCATGTTTTAAAAATAAATAGCACAACCAATTACATGTGTTTTCTTTATTTCTGTCTCAATTCTCAAACTCTCTAGAGGCTTTTCTTGCCTTCATTTTCTTCTTCTCCACAGGGTCCTCTATGACCCTGACATTTTCAAATAGTATTGGTCAGTTATTTTATGGAATGTTCTCAGTTTTTACTTCTCTTGTGTTTTCACTATTAGAATGAAGTTCTCCACTATGGATTAGGTTACTGTGCAGGTGAGATGCTCATGACCAGAGCATCGTATCAGAGAAAGTATGCTACATTGTTATGTATTATGCTGATGTTAACTTCGATGCATTGAAATATCTGCCACTACCAACAGTGGCTTCTCCTCTAAAGTTTCTAAATATTTGGTAGACACACTTTCACCTGCTAATTTTAGCATCCATTGATGTATCTTGCCAGTGGCAATTATTGTTGCTGTATTATTAGTGAATAGTGATGTTCTATTTCTTTCATACTTATTAATTAGAAATCTTCAGAGATGAATAATTGACCTTTCTCTTCTATTCACTTCTTTATTCGGTTATTCACTAATAGCAGTACAGACATACTATAGTGTTAGATGATGACTGTCCCCAGAGGTCCTCGTGTTAATAAAGGCTTGGTCTTCCGAATGGCAGTTTGGGGAGGTGGTGGAACATTGGGAGATGGGGCCTGCAGGAGGTTTTAGGTCACTGCGTGTGCTGTTCTAGAAGGTTGTAAGAGCGTAGTCCCTTCTTCCTCTCTTTGCTTCCCAGCATGAGTCAAACAGGTTTGCTCTGCTAAAGCTTGTGCCATGTTAGTCCTGTCTTGTCACAGGACCAAAACAACAGGTCATGCACTGTAACCCCCAAAACTGTAAAAACAGAGCAAAAACCTTTCTCTTTACAAGATGATTACCTCGGTTCTTTGCTATTGTAATAGAAAGCTGACTGACACTTGTACTCATGGGTGTTTTGTTCTTTCATTACAGTGCAGTGACATCTTTATGTTCAAGTTGTGCCAACTTTGTCTACTAGAGCATTAGCTTTTCTGCTTTTTATGTAAGTTCCTTGTATTTTTAAAGCTTTTAAGAAGCACTTTCTAATCTTCTGGAGCCAAAGATGCTCCAGATTACATTTCCCCTGCTCTACCCTGGGTTCAACCAATTTCTCAAAGATCTTTTGATTTGAGAATAATGTTTAGAGATCAAGCCCTGATCACTAGTTATGCTCATTGTTACTCAGGTGTCATTTTCCCTCATCTTTATCAGTGACTAGAGCTGGGACACATGCACACTTACTAACTCATGCTTTTACATATCTAGATTTACTTATATGTTCATCTATTTATACTAGCAGCAATAAAAACATAAGCCCATGGTGACGTCTCCAATTTCACTACAGTACCACAGAATGCTTTCTAGCTTTCTTTTGCATTGCTCTGTAACTTCTTTCTCTGGCATTAAGAAATTTAGCTTCCATTATCAACATATTTACATATTTGCCCAACTATCCTATACAAATAAAATAGCTTCTTTGTTTGCCCATATTCCTGTAAGAAACGAATTTATGAAAAAAAGGTGCAATATTTGTGTTCTTTATTTAGCCTTACAATATCCAGCTTTTTCTCTTTCTGATATTTATTGTGATAAGCTCCTTTTGTCATTTCATTAAATTATCAGTTTTATATTTAATATTTTAAACAATAGATAAAAGTTGAAACAAAAGCCAATGGGGGACATGAAATTCTAAGGAAGATTTACATGCTAATAAGCAATAAAACAATCAGGATTCTTTTTGTAAAAATAGGCATAGTTATATGTATGTTCTTAAAGCTGTAGTTGCTAGGCAGCAAAAATAAATAAATAAAATGAAAAGGTCCCCTAAACATTGCTCACTTTTGACGTCCATGGAGTAAATTTCAGTCAGCAATCTGGCAGGAGTACCAAAATTCTAGAAAGGTATTTCTCTCATTTCCTCATCTTCCAGCCCAACCATGATACTCCACTAATACCAAGAAGTCTTTTCTAGAGAAAGATGGAGTTTATGTGTGGTATTAAAAAGCAAAGGAGGTCTTCCTCTAGCCTCTCACTTGCTTCTATTACCTTTTGGTTCTGCCCATCTGGCTCAGAACCAACTGTCAGAACATTTGGGTCTTTATGTGCATTTTTGTGCATTAAATAACCCTTGTACATTTCGGGTTTTCACAAGGTTTCTTTGAAGTTCTAAACTTTTAACTTTGATTGTCAAAACATAATTCTGAAGGAAACAACTGGAAAGTAGCTACAGCATGTTCTCAGCACTCTCATGAATTTAAGTCAAAGGAAATGGCTTTGTGTTCCAGCTATGGAACAATAGTAGATCGATCCATGTAGGTTGCTTTGAGTTTTCACAATAGAGTTCACTTTTAAACTCATTTAATAATAAAAATAAGATGACCCTATTTTTTCCAGATGGTCTTTTTAAAATTCCTTTAACTATAAAAAAAAGTGCCTACATGAAAAAAAAAAAAAAAGTAGGCACACTGATCTCAAGTCAAGGAATAATTTAAGCACAATCTCTGGCCAGCAAATGGCACTGCAAAATTCCTTTGATAGGATTCATAAAGCCTTAAGGATTAAGGGGAATCTGCTTCAAGATAGTCCGAACAATTTGGAGTCATCATTGAACTAATGTGAAGGCAATTATGCCTCACTGGTAAGGTGATTCACACAAACTATTGCTGTATAGAAGTCAGGGAGCTCTAACAGCCCCTCTTGTTTGTGCTTTCCCTCAGTGTAGAGATCGGAAGATGAAGGACCAAAGGTGTTAGCTGATGCTCACAGTTGCACACTAGTGCTGGATGGTTGAATCTGCAGCTTTGTGGTATCAAATAGTTTGATTTTATTTTTAAATATACATCATCTAAAGCTCTTTCCATAGTGCTCGCAGATCCCTACTTGAAAAACTTAAAAACAAGCAACCAAATCAACAATGGTTGTGGAGGTGTTTAATTCATGCAAACTAAGGGCAAGTCCATTCCTTCTGTGCACAAGTCAGAAACTGCAAAGCCAGGAGAGACTCTGTCTGTCTCTGCTCTCTTTTGTGATCTGCTTCATTATTGTGTCTCTGATTTTCCTTTCCATGGAAAAGGTGAGCAGTGTTGGTTTCCCTGGAGAAGAGATTAAACTCATGATCAGAGATTATCTTTGAACCTTCAAAACTAAACCCACGAGAGAAACTCAGTTGACTCAGCTTGGGTCATCTGTTCACCCTAGTGTCTGTCTGTCTGTCTGTCTGTCTCTTTGTCTAGCACATACTATGTGTTAGGCATTGGATTGTCCAATTAGTTATATCAAAGGCACTGGGCTCACAATGTACACTTATAGCCATCTATCTAACATTTGCAAAGTGCTAATATTTAAAGTTAGTCGTGTATTAAAATACAGAATTACATAGGAATTTTAATTTTATAAATTATAACATATGCATTAAATGGTTACTATTAAACTAAACTGTTACTAACCATAAACTAGCACTAAACTGCTACTTCTCTGAAAAATCACAATTGCTTTAATATAATTCGTTACTTTTTAGAGCAAAATATAATTAAGTATATCTATAATGTGTAAAATAATTAAAACAGAATATTATATGAATCTATATAAGATTCCAAAATATTTAATATTATAGGGGTCTATATTTCATAATATTCACAACTGATGTTCTATGAAAATAAAACGTGTTGATGTACATCAGAGGAAGAGCTCAAGTTTGTAATTTTGAGGCTTTTGTTTTTGTTATTGTCATCACTGCTGACTAAGATCTGTACTGTACTCTATTTGTTGTATTTAATTTAAATAATGAATAAGGATGAAAAATTAACGTCATGGTCTGGGGCACCCCAAGTTAACTGCAAGTCTTTCACTTGTCAGTACAAGACATCACTGCATTAGTTCTGCTCAGTTGCTTGTTTCTAGGGCTCGACTTTAGCCTTGTATTTGGTGAGTCTCCTACTATTATTTGAAAAGCTGACTCTCCACGTACAGCAGGCTTATTAATCAAATGTGGATAGACAAAAGCTATTAAGAGTAAGAATGAAAGAAACCGTATTTGCATCCAAATAACTCACAAGTAAAATACCATGGCTTACTGAAACTTTCTTGCATCATTACCTTGCAAAATGTTCTCTGTAATTCAGCTAAACATTCAAATCAGTAACTATGAATCTTAAATAAATTTAACTACAATGCAAAAATCTATTCCATATGTATGTAAACAAGTAGAATATTTAAAATTTGGTTCATTACCACCTATTAAAACTTCCAACATTTATATTCTACAATTAAGAAAACTGACACGCAGAAACATCAAATACCTTGGTTAAGAACAAAGAAGTTTGTGGTAGGACCTCCAGATTTCAGTGACGTTTTCAATCTCTATTATAGCATGTAGTTATAGCTTGTGGTGTTTAGTTACAGTAACTGCCCAAACTGTTAACCAAACCAAACTAATTAGGATAAACTTCATTTGCTTTTCTAAATTTCTTACTTTTAGTTCCCAGTTTCTTCTTTTCAAATCACAGAATCAGAAACTAAGTTTTCATCCCACTTCACTCTAGCCTGTTTTTCAGAAAATATCTTGGGAAACAGCACACTATACATGTTTTTATTCATTTTCAAGGAAATAGGATAAAGTAAAGGGCACTTCAATAATAAATTCTGCTTGTTGGAAGTATGCTAAAAATCATTACCAAATATTAGAATGTACAATTAAATAGGAATTCATATCTATTTGGCCCCAAATAGTCAATGTGGTTTTATGACACTGCCATCCATCAATGGCTGTAATCTAAATTATCTTCCCCCTCATTATCTTGTTCCATCACTCATCAGGTACCAAAATGTTTAAGTCATCTTTTCTCTAAACCTAGCCATTTCTTTAGTTCAAGATTTCATTGTCTTTGAATCATGTCTTATTTATTGACTTTTCTCTGATTCTAACAGTTCTGATGAAAATTGACAATTTTTTTTGTTCCAGTGATGGCAAACGCCACATCTGTAATAAAACTGCAATTATCATGTTATTCTATCTTTTTATTTTTATTTGTTTAATTTTATTTAATAGTTTACATTGTTTTCTTTGTTGCCTCATTTTACAAGAATATATTCGTTGTACAGAGGGATTCATTGTGACAATCTTGAATAGGCTTACATTGTACATTGCTTAGATCACCCCCACCATCTCTCTTCTGCAACCCCTCCCCACCACTGAAAGCAATCCTAATATATATGTGTACGTTCTATTTCATATATGTATTTGAAGCCCATCAACCATATTCTCTCACCTTTTTCTCGTCCATTCACCCTCCCTTCTCCCACAACCACCCCATCATACTGTACCTACTTTATAGTCCAGTCTTTCATTAATTCCAAAGTCAGTGTTCAAAGGGGTTTCTCAAAGTAGCCCCATTGTGAGTCCCAATCAGAAATGATAACAACATTGCTTAGAAAGATTAAATAACAGACTTAGGCCATATATAAAAAGTGGTAGAACAGCAATTTAAACTTAGGTCTGTTATGCTCCAGGAGATGTAAATTTGTTTACTATAGCACAAAAGCCTTTCTTGACTATTAGGAAAAACTATCCTGGTGGTAGTTTTAAGTGTTTTAACTTCCTTACTATTTTCTGACACTTCAGCTTTTGAGGATTTTACAAACCATTCTACATTGCTGGAGTTCAAACTACTGACACTGGTAACCAAGGAGGGTTGCTAAATGCCTTGACCAGTCCATCTCATCTTATTTCAGGTCTATCATTGATGTAGCATGTGGTGAGAGTAAGTAAATTAAAATTCCAGAGTGGTGATAAAGGTTTCTGAATATAACAAAAGTATGCATCAGGATAAGCAGATCCACACCTGAGCTGGCTGTGTATATATAATTGTGTGCATGCACGAACTAGCAAACACTTAACTTTTCTGATTATTAAACCACAGAAGACTCTAAAACAGAATGGGGATTTCATTTTAATTCTCTCTTTTTTTGTGATGGGGGTACACTGTAGCATTTACACAGGTTCTTAAAATGTATCAAATATATCTTAAGCTACTTTATGAAGGCATTCTTGACATACAAACACCTACACATATTTATTGTATAAAACTTAATGAGTTTTAAGATAAATATACTTTGAAACCATAACCTTGTGCTATGTCATAAACCTATCCATCATCTCCCAAAGCTCCCTCGTACCTGTTTTGTTGGCTATTACTATTGTATGTTTCTGTCTGTGATGAGAACACAGAATGAAATCAACTTTCTTAACAATTTTTAAGTGTGTAATGCAGTATTGGTAACTCTGCACTATATTCTCCCATAGGTCTCACCTTTTCATCTTGAATAACTGAAACTTTGTATCCTTTGAGTATCATTCCCAATTTTCTCCTCCTCAAAGCCCCTGGAAACCACCATTCTATTCTTTGCTCCTATGAGTTTGCCTATTTAAGATTCCTTAAATAGGTGGTATTTGTCCTTCTGTGACTGGATTATTTTACTTAGCATCCTTTCTTCCCAGTTCATCCAAGTCATCACAAATAGCAGGACTTCCTTTTCAAGGCTGAATAATATACCATTATTTTCACATAGCAAATTTCTTTATCCATTTATTCATGAGTGGACTTTAGGACTGCTTCCACATCTGTGAATAATGGCACAGAGAACACAGGTGTGTAGCTATGTCCTTAAGATCCTCATTTCAATTCTTCAGATATAAATCCCCAAATGGGATTGCCAGATCATATGGTAATACTATTTTTATTTTTTTGGAAAAACCCTGTATTTATTATGTCTATACCAATTTACATTTCCACCCACAGTGCACAAGGATTTGTTTTAACTTTTCTGAACCTACAACTACTATATTGTTGACCATGTCTACAAATGTGTCAAAATGTGTCTTGACCCATCTCTACTTATGTATTCTGTGCAGGTGTTAATGGACTTACTGTGAAAGATTTGATGATCTAAATGTAACTTTGCACCCCCTATAAGATGGGAACTGGGAGGATGTCCACCCATTTATAGCACAAAAAATGGAGACTTTTGAGAAGAGCCAGTCAAGGGGGACAACATTAACAGAGAAGCCAGGACAAAGGTACTTATGCTGGAAAACCAGAGCACATTGTCATACTAGCAATACTTAGAAACCTGCTAGGGCAATAAGTTAAGAAGAATTAGAAGAATATTTAAAACATATTTTTATTAAGAAACAGCAAGGGATTGTGAAGAATGGTAATACATATGACACCAAGTCAGTCACTTTAGACCCTATTCAGGTATGCTATTAAAATCTACACATTTCTCCTTGACAAACCGCCTAAAGCAAAATGTTTGACAACTTTCCACTGCACTCACTTGAGCCCATGGGAAAGTGTTTCTGATGACACTCACCAAGTCAGAGAAACAGCGTCTTAGTCAACTTTGGGGATTTAGTTTCTAAGATATATTTTTTTAAAGACACTTTGTTTTCTCTCTTTTTTGTCGAATTCAAGAAGAAACAAATGTTTAACTATTAGTCATTATGAATACTATTTCACGGAGCAGATACTCAATTCAGGTGTCCCTTTCACAAAGTATTCCCCAGAAAAACAAACATGTCATAGTTTCTTTTTTTGCTACTTAGGGTTATTACAAGCTTCAATTGTTTCATCTTCATCTCTAAAGAACTCTTCAACTTTTTAACTGCCAATAGTCAATCTGTTTTGAAGTACACACTGTAACTTAATTTTCAATTTTTGAAAGAATTGTCTATGATACCTTTCAAGTGAGGGCTATGCACATGCATTCTTTGTAGGTGTAGGTTTACTGGAACAAATTCTAATGTTCTCTCTCCTTTGCTGCTGCTTGATTTGAAAGAGGACCCTAGAAGCAAAAAAACCCCTAAGTATTAGTAAATGAATAAATAAAAAGTGTGTGTTAAAAAATACATTTGATAAAAATATGTTAACAAGCACTTCAGAGAAGAAAACATATCCTGTGTTCATGAGGCTTCTCCCAGGATTTTATTTTTCTTAAAAAATTGCAATTATTCTGATAATACCATCAGATAAAATAACAGTGTTCTCGCCCTTGTTTTAAAAACATCAAGGCAATAGAGTTAAAAATTATTATCATTTTTGATCTTTGGTCCTTATCAATGGTAAACATTGGCTACAAACACCACACATGAAACGCAGTTGAGTCTGAGTAAGCATTGCATTCATACCTGTTTCCTTGCTAAGTTCTGCCAGAATGTCTTGGTACAGGTTCAGCATTTGGTCACAGTGTGTTAGGACATTCTTCCGTAGATTGTCCCAGTGTGGAGAGAGTTCACCGAGTTCTTTTTAGTTCTGGGTTCTGTAAAGAATGCAAAAGAGGAGAGCTATTATCATCTGAAATCCAAAGACACAGAAATCTTAATCAGTAAGAAATTGTTTCAATATCCTCAGGAAAGTTTTTTAAGTTTATTAGCTTGAAATTTTAAAAATAATTTTTAGGAAAAATACTAGCAGTTTAGAATACAGAAGCACTAAAGAACATTATGTTAAAGGGGAAAGAAAGGTTAAATTTCTGGATGAAGTCTTCATGAAGATGACAGACTTACTGTCTTTAATATGCAGAGAAAATATTCCATTAAAAAGTAAATACTAATGCCTCAATGTAACAATAGCTAAATTCTAGATTCAATTATCCCAAATCAAAGGATTTGGGAAGGGCTATTGGCCTATATCTGAAGGCAACACAAGATACTCAGGTAATCAAGTTTATATATAGTGTAGCTATAAATTTTTATAAGGCTCAAGTAATGAACAAGTGGTATTTTGAAGAATGGTTTTCTTGGCATTAGTTTCTCCCAAGAGGACAATTTAAATATTGTATGCATATGTGTCATCTCCTTTTTTATCAAAAGCAAGACTGTTCATGCCATTTAAGTTTTAATTATTAACTTTTATCTAAATCTCTACCCTTTAGCCAAGTTAATTTAGATAATCAGAATGCCATTTTAAATTACAGTGATAAATGGTCTATTACACTGCTTGGTTAGAGTTCTTATTCATTTCTCTAACCTTTTACCAACAACATTTTCATGAGGCTAATTTAACCAGCAATAATGAACTTTCATTGCTGTTTTGGCCAGGAAACATGCTAAATACCAAACTAATAAATTCAGAAGATGTAGAAACTCTAACATCCTGTTAAACACAAGATTAATGGATGGTGTGCAAAAATGTGACTTGCTTTCCAAGCTTTGCACCTTTGATTTGTTTCAATAGGGGCGTCCCTTAGTACTGCTGTTACCTTCCCTCTGAGATCTTCATAGTCTTTGTGAACACTAATCTCATTCTCACTTTCCCAAAGATTAGCTTTCATATACAACATTCATGGGAGAAGAAGTAATTAATCAGTAGGAAATGAGAATAAAGGGAGTTTATAACCAAAGGAGAGGTGGTGGGAAGGTTGAAGAATCTGAGAGTCAATGTCTCTGCACTTAAATGGTAGGATATTTAAATTGAGGACAAAACAATGACAACGAAAACAAGTAATTCCAAAAGCTTGAAATGTCCAAGTCTAGAAGAACCAGGAAAGTAAAGTTAAATCTGACATAAATGTCAAATGTTTCGTATCAATTTAGCAGGTAAGGTTTCAGGCTTTGGTTCCATATGTAGTTATGATGGAAATACTTGCTCAGTATTCCTGTTTAATTCTAATAGATGCACCATTGGTTTGTAATTTATGTTGTCTCTAAATCCTTGTTAGAAATAACAGTCAAAAGGGAGTAGGGTGAGGGAGGGGAAAAAAGGTGACCATGAAGCTATGAATTCTTTGGGTACATGTATAATCTGGTATACATTTTCTTCATCTACAAGTTTTGAAAAATGGATTAGAAAAGTTTGATGTTTTGTGGGGAGTGACTTGGGATAAAACTGTGTGGAGTCAATAAACTGTTGTTTAAAAATTTATTGCATTCCTCCAATAGGCAATAATTTATTCAGAGAAATTTATAGATGAAGCTGTTTGTTTTAAAAGATGGCATTGAAAAGTTTCAAGCAACCAGCACATGGTCATTTTGCAATGAGACAAATGCAAATAAAGAGGAACAAAGGGCAATGAAAATGTAAAACAAAATAGGGCAGTAGTGAGAGTTGTTGTAAACCTGAAAAATGAAAGAAATTAATTACATCAATACATTAAAATTAGTTAAGGAGAAAAGATTATCAGGAGCAACAAAATTACTGAAATTTTCCACCAGGAAGTCTAAGGCTATTCATTCTTAACTATGTTTTAATTTGTTGTTCAGTGATCAAAAATCTCCGAGTTCAAGTACTTTGCATCTCAATCCAAGATAGAGCAATCCAAGACCAACCACAGGGAAGTAAAAAGAGAAATTATGCAGGGAATAGAAGAAAGCAGGCACAAGGTTGTGCATTAATGGGTTGGCTAGAACTTCTCAAGAAACAAAGCTGAGTATTGGGTCATAAGAAAAAAACCTTGAGGTACTGTACGAGGTGTTGCTCCTTGGAACAATTTGTTAGATGAAGCAATTGACATTTGTATGCTACTTCTTTAAAAAATTCTATATTTTATAGAGTAAGATTCTTCCTATAAGATATTAGCTTTCTGCACTTCCACTTGTATAATCTGACCCTTCTGAGTAGTCACTGGGAAGCAATTTCCCTGTGGTGACAGGGATGGTCATGTAAGGGATACTCAGAATCCCACCATGGTAGGTGCCACCAGAGGTATACTAAAGCCTGGTATTCATCTCAGTGGAGGCTGATACAGCTAATGATGTGAGAAGATAGGGTGACACTGGTGCCTTACCACTGAGCAAGTGGCCAAAAATATGAAGACATATTTGGGTTGAGCCAGTAGAAAAAAGTACACAAACTGGTCCCAGTAATGGCAAACCCTTACCCAGCTTATATCCACTCGCTTCTTTTTCTTATATCCCAATAGTATATAAAAGAGATCTCCTACACATTAACGAGAGGAAAGTTCATAAGCAATAGTTGAAATTGGTGATTGGCCCTAATTCTTTAGGACTTAAAGAGAGGTAGCAAACCAAGGTACAATATCCAATGCACCATCTGATCCTTTCAACTTGAAAGATATTCAACACTAAACTCTCATACCACCCATTCCCCTCACCCTGTGAACACTTCAGCTGCTTTGAGTTATTGCTCAATAGATCTTAACTGTAGATCTACAATGTAGATCTTAATCCTAAGGGACCGAGTCCTTACTTTCCTTGCCCTATGGAGTATTGGTTGCTGCTATGTCCATGCATACCTGTGCATGGGTACCTCTGAGTTCTAGGCGTATATCTCTTTGATCAGCTCTATCTCTTTCTAGCCCTATATCCTCATGGTGTTGAGTTTAGTAATCTACCATTTTTTTGCTGCTTCATAGTTATGAGAAGCACTTAGTAAACAGATCATATGTGGAAACAATCACAACCACCATTTAAGCAGGATTCCTATCAGGTCCCCTAACAGACAGCTTTTCCCCAACCCCATCCCTGCTACAAGAACCAGGATTCTAACTCACAAATTCTAGAAACATAGTGCAAAAATTGTAAGTGAGTCAGGCAGTTGGATGTAAGAAGATTCCAACTTTATTCCAGAATTGTAAATTCTAGTTACAGTGAAGATAGCATTCTTTATCTATTGTTAGTTTACTATATATGCTTCATTCTAGAAGTCAATAACCAAATTCTAAGATTTTGCTTTACTTTATTTTATTTCCCATGCTGGTATCTTAGCTGAGCTGTTCATGGATATTAGCCCAATGCTCCCTCAGGTCTGTAGCTTTTGGGTGATGGAGTATATAGTGATTACAAGCTCATTACTGTGCCATCTTTGATAGTACCAAATATCCTGTGGTAGAAGCAATATTTTGTGGAGTCATGTACCATTGGTATTCTGTAACTTGTCAGATGTAGGTGCCAGGAGTGACACTTGAGAGAAAAGACAAACACATGTTCAGACTATATTTAACCCTCTTATGACAAATTGCTGCCCCTTCCAAGGCAGAAGTAATCCAGTTTAATTGCTTGCCAATTAAGTTGCCACTGTGGATGACTGATATATCACTGGCACATTTACAAGGAGCAGTTATAATAGCTGTATTGGCTTTGGAGAAGGAGGTCATGTATTTTTGAGAAAAGGTGGTTGGATAACATCTACTGGACAAGGATACAGTCCACTCCAGAGTTTTTGATGGAGCATTTACTGTCACATAGCATAATTTTGAGGCATAACAACACACTGTACTTCTCATAGGTCCATTTACAGATCTCTTGCCCATGTGTCATGGAATAAATTTTCCAGTTGCATTTATTCTAGGCCCATGAGGTATTGACTCTTAATAATAAATGTGTATCTGCACCTCAAGGCATCTCTTTCCAAATGAAGAGAATGGTAAGTGAACTGCTAGTCTATCCAACTTCTTCACCATATTAAAGCTCCCCCAATACACAGTTTGACCCATACCAGTTGATTTCTTTCTTCCTCCTTGAGTTAGTCATAAGAGAACTTCCATGATGGTATGGGAATATGTTGAGAAAGAACTAGCAGTATACTAAAGTAGGCAACACGAGACTCTTGGACCCTTCTTTATGATGTATGCATGCAATTTTGACTCTGTCTGAATGCAGTCCAAATATGTCTCTTCTATCTAACAATACATTATTCCTGTACCATACAATGGGATCAAGTCAATATCCAGTTTACAATGGACAGCTTCAGTCACAGAGTCACTTTGCATCCTGTCATCAGGGATTCAGTCTCTAGTAACACCAAGCAGTATTTTTGAAATGAAGAGTAGTTGCCTGGTGCAGAAGGCACTGGTGCATGCCAGAACCCTAAAGTATGCACTGAAACTTTCCTATTTGCATTTCTCAAAGACTTCACATAACATAAAGTATCTCACCATAGATACTTTCAACCTCATTGGATCTCCTTGGTCACTTAGCCAAGGGCTTGAGACAATGGCTGGCTCTTCTGTGATGTCCCTTTTGAGTGGGACCTCGCTGGACCCATTCTGCTTCTTCACTAAGTGTTTAACATATATGCATAAAGTGGGTGGAGTCTTAATGTTATAAGGATCAAAAACATAGTCCAAAATGCAATTATTTGTGTGCATGGGTGAAAGGGACCTTTTAGAATTATGAATGCATATATGTTATATTACTGATTTTCTCCCCTTTTTTCATTGTGCAAGTACATATTGGAGGTGTGGCAACACCTATGAGAGGGCTCACCTGGTATTACATTATTTTATTGGCACTTGTTTCATTCTGAATATATCATATGACATTATCCAAGTTATAGGCAGTCAGAATAAATCCTTTCTGT